TACAGTTGACAATAAGAAGCTTAGATACAAAAAAATTGACAATAACACAAGTATTATATATAAACAATATGTGCATTATTTCAAAGTTACTATATATACTGCAAACAACAAAATTAACAAAAGCAGTGGTTGATAAAATACAAAGCTCTTTATTAAGAGTAGCAAAAAACAAGCTAGAAATAGCAAAAACAACAGATAACAGCATAATTTTGTATAGAAACTTAGAAAATTGCAATTTGTTATAGGATTAACTTATTATCAAGCAAATTTTAAGTTTGCATACATGACTCAATATAGGTAGCATAGAGGAATTAGTTACAAAAATATGAATAGACCAAGGTTTATTACTAGTTGGTGCAACAGTAAATGATTGGCATGAAAACTCTTCTAAGTTATATAATATAATTTAGAAAAACAATTTAGCATATTACACAATGCTAAAGGCCAAAGAACTGCAAATTATAATAAATTTTGATAATTTAAATTCAAAGCTGAATAGAAAAGAAAATAAGATTGCTAATATGCTAGATGCTAGATTTACAAAAAAAGTAGCATTAGCATTAAAAAAACTTAAATTAATATATATAGAACAATTAATTAGCAAGTTAGATAATCAAATGCTATTATGATAACAGATCAAATTAATATATAAACAGTTATATAAAGGCAGACAAGCAGAATGGTTTAGTGATATAGAAAATAAGTTAGTAGAAAATAGGCAAAACAGAATTATAAAAGATAAGTAGGCAGTCAGAAAACCAAATGAACATACAATTGAAGTTTAGCTAAAAGCAGTTTTGGAAGATAGAAGAAAGAAAGAATAGGTGTTGCTAAAGACAGATAAGAAAAAAGAAATTGCAGGTCCAATAGTTAAGAAAGTTATTGCAAGTACACAAAAAAAGGTTTTGACAGAACATTGGAAAACAAACACAAAAACAGAAAATGTAGAATCAGTATTAAATAAATGCAAAGACTGCATTTTAGACCAAGGTTCAGAAAATGAAAATTATATAAAGTGAAAAAACAAGAGTGAAATTCAAGGCTCAATATCAAAGTTTGTAAAAAATTGAAAAGAGCAAATGCTAGAGCTAAATTATGATATAATAAAACAGCTATGAGAAAAAAAAGAAATAAAATTAAGCATTAGTGAGAAGAAAGTCAAATTTATACAATAGATGGATTTAGAAGCAGAAATTATTCAGAAGCAGCTAATAAGTAGAACAATGAAAAGAGAACTCATTTACAGAAAAAATTTAAATCAAACAAGACCAGAAGAAGTTTTAATTTTTTATACAGATGAATCTTTAAAAAAAAGAACAAAGAATACAAAGCAAGATCCAGATTATATAAGTGCAGACTAGGTACAAATGGACAGAAAAGAGAAAAATGTTCTTGATAAAGGATGTTTTGAAGTAAGAAACTGGCTGTTATCAACAAAACCAGAGTTGCTAGCAATATGGTTTGTGCTACTCATGATACTAAAAAAGAAAACAGTTAGAATTTTTACAAATAATGCAATAGCAATTGCTAATATAAAAAGGAAAAACACAAAAAGATTACTTAAACAATGACTTAAAAGAGAAAACTACAATTTATTAAAGAACATTAATGATTGTATAGAATTAAAGAAGCTTAAATTAGAATTAATTAAAGTTAAAGAGCACAGTGATAATAGATAAAATATTAAAGCAGATAAACTAGCAAAAAAGAAAACTAAACTAGATGATATAGATAAGATATTAAAAGAAACAGTACAAATAACTAATATAAATCTTTGTTAGAAAGATGAAATGGTAGAAGATCCTACAAGATAATTTATAAAAAAAATTTTAGACTTAAAAAAAAGTATAAAATAGAGCTTTACAATAGCAATTAAAAAGCAAAACCAGATCAGAGTAATAGAACATACAACTGGTTATACTTTTGGAAAAAAATGAAAGACCAAAATGGAAACAAATGCTTGAGTATAAAAAAAATAAATGTATAGAAACTTTAATTAAATATATAAATAAAAAATTGCCAGTAGCCAAAAAACTAGCACAACATTATCCAGATCTTTATAGAAATTCATATTGCATTATTTGTAAAGAGGATATAAAAGAAGATCAAGATAATTTAGTAATATGCAAATGTTATGAAAATATATGAATAAATATAGAAAATATATCAATGAATTTGGCATGGATAAAGCTCTCAGTTGAAGCCAGAGCAGAAGCAAATAAAAAATAGCTTAAGAAAGTATTCTGGAATTTATAAACAGAAGAGAAAATTAAAACCAGATATAGAATAATCAAAGGTCTAATACTCAAAAAGATGCTAGATTTATTGCAAGATATATTACATTCAAGTAAAAAAACAAAAGAATTTGTTACAATAGCAATTAATATAATATAGAATTGCTTCTATAAAGATATATAGAAAAAATGATGTAAAGCTTTTGTCTTATGGAAAAAAGAAATAGAAATTGATAAGAAGACCAAAAGAAAAAAAAGAAATACGAAAAAAAATTCAATAAAAAAAGTTAATAAAGCTAGTTTTATAAGAAAAGCTATTAAAATAGAAAAGAGCCAAACAATTGAAGCCAGAAAAATTGAAAAAGATGTAGAAAAAATAGAAATATATAAGGCATAGTCTGGCTCAATTGTAAATTTTATTTATAGTAAATCAAAACTATTTACATATGGCCTTATTGGCTAGTCTAATATAGTCTTTAAATTTAGGTATATCTTTAACCAGTGTAGCAAACTACCTTTGGGCATTCAAAAAAGCAGCTAAAGGATGTTGGACCAAAAACTTAAATTAAAATGTATGTAACATATATACAAGAATCTTAATAAAGATTTATGGCAAGGCTGTTAAGAGGAAAAAATATATATATATATAGTATTTAAGCAAAACTTTTTATATATAGAATTATAAGTTTTAAAACTAAAGATTTCTAAACTATATTTATATTATAATTAGATATTTAATATAATATAATATTTTTTATTTTTTATTTTTTTTTATTTTTTTTTTTTTCTCTCTCCACTATCCTGAAGGTCCTTAGTCATCTTAGGATCTGTCACATCTCTCAAGGCCAGAGTTATCATCTAGCGAAGTTCATCGAACAGGTGAATTGGCCTTCTTTATGTCACCGAACTAGTAAGATAGCTCATGCTCTGTTAAGTCTGTCATATGACGTCCCAGGTCCCTGGCCCCGCGGTGTAGGACCTACATTTTCTAGGTCCGCAGTTTCCTAACTTCGCATGACCCACTAGTCGGATCGCACTTTCTAATGTTCTTATTACGTTCTTAAGCTGGGTTTTACTCAATTTTTACGTCATTTGTTGACGGATTCGCCTTATCTGGTCGTCCTCGACCCCGTGGTTATGCCGACGGACTGCATTCTACACGTATGAATCCTGTTCATTCCTTACATAGAAAATTTTCCTCTCGAAGATCATTCCAGTCGTGGTTCTGACAAAGCCTTGTCCCCCAGTTGGATTCGAACCCGCAACCTTGCGACTGTGACCTGGGAGCGCTAACCACTGCGCTATTGACCCGCAGGTCGGTCAGTTAATTCAATTACCGACTAATTAAAATTTGCCTTCAATCAGTGGTAAACTTATTTTGCCACCTTAATTTCACCAGCATCTTAACTTAAGAATCCTAAGGTTTGTTATTTGTTCATGAAGGTGGCTTAACTACTTATAATCACTAATCAACAAAAAATGTTTACGGGAACGTCTGTTATTCCCTGGTTTATCAGGTAAATAACAAGGGTTTTCGGAAACGTATTTCGTTGCAAATTAATTAGTGATTATAAGTCGTAAAACCCCCGTCATGCGATCATATAATTTACTTATTCAGAATTGTTAATTAAATATGTGCCATTATGAGATTGGTTAAACGTGAGGTTAGTTGATATTTTTAACGATTACTAATAATCAGTAAGTTTTAAAGATTAGTTGACCTCATGTTGTATCAACCCTATGATAGTCCCTCGTTGTTATTAAAAGTGAAGATCTAACACTAACCCGTTTTATTCGATGTTATCGTTTGTTTGGTCATCTGTGTGTTTATTTAACTCTGGTTGCGATCGTGCTAAATCAAACGGATTTCTATTTTTATAGTCACGTGAAACGTTGTGCCAATTTGCCTTTTATATATAATAAATATCTCTAGAGGCACAATTTTATTGGCCAGTGTACCCCCAAAAATTTGATAATTTTGGAAGTCTTGGAATTAGATACCAAAACCGGACAAATTTTTCCGTGTCTCGGATTATGACTAATTCCTCAGTAATAAGAAGTTCCAAGTGCAGTCCATTAATCTATGTGAGCTTGGTATAGTGAGTAGTCAAATTATTGATACTGCTAATATGTTTTAACACAATTGCAACCTTGACGCCTTTGATGATACTCGAAACTCTAATGCGTCTTCGTCTTTCACAGCATCGTCAATCAACGAATGCACGTGATATTATAGTAGCAAACATGTTTCTTTTAAATGGTATTTGTTCTCATATTGATTGACCAAATTGCAAATTTAAACTATCTCGATGAAGCAAAAAGAAACAAAAAGTGCGAGAGTTATGAGAAGCAGTTTTATTTAGGGCAAAGACTGCAGTGGATGGATAAGTAAGAGACAAATTTTGACAACCTAGTTAACACTGCCCGTTTTAACTTCTCCTAATTTAGAAATTGATACTCAAGCCCGGTTACATATTTGACCATTGGTGGCAGTTTGGCGTGGAAGTTTTACATCTCAATTTTATTGAAGGTCTAAACTTGTTCATATGTGCGTTGATCGTGGGTTTGGTACGATATTTGCGTTTCACGAATTCAACAATACGTTTTATTTATCATACACAAAAATAAATCAACACGCAAAAATTGCGTGATTTTATATGCACCAAACAGATGCAGTATATCAATTTTGACGGCAATCTTAAATTCAAAATATTTTAAAAATTTAATAGATTTTGTTACTTTAAATTTATTCTCTAGAAAAAAATCATGACACTTTTTGCTCTTTTTGCCCGAATTCAGATTGGCTCTAAAGTTACAGCACAATTACTTTATCGTCATGCAATTTTTTGTGCTTCTCACAAGACTTTGGTAATTGTTCTAGCCATCTCTGTATTTCTATCCTTATGTTACCCCGCCTTCGACACTTATTACTTAAATTCTGCGAGAGATGTTAGTTCATCCATGTCACAAGTATCAGGGGAAACCTTTGTTGAAAAATATGGGACACAACCTTTATTTCGCGTAGAGCAGGTTATCATAAAGATAGCTAATTCGAAAAAACACAATAAAGGAGGCAATGTCGGCGTTTTAGATAAAGATATATTATTATGGACTTCAAGTTTGCAAGGAAGAGTAATGGATACTGTTATAACGTATTCTAATCAGCCCTCTTCACTTGTTACCAAAAAATATTCCCTTTCAGATTTATGTCTTAAACCTTTTGATAATAATGCATGCTTAATCCATTCACCGCTTGCTTATTGGTCTAATAACGCAGACCATCTTTCTTCTGACATTTCAATTCCTAAAACACTTTCACGAATAAATAAAACTTCCTCTCTTGGAATCTCTATTCCTTTAAGTTCTGTCTTTGGAAATATTGTATATGAGAAAGGAAAAATTATTAGTGCTGACTCAATAATTTTAACCTATTTTTTGAAAGATATGGAGAATGACAATGAAGGTCAGACGACGGCCATTTGGGAAGCGATTTGGCAACAAATTATGAGTGATACAGACGCCACTTTTCGACTTAATGATGATCGCACTGTGAGAGTAAATATGAGCAGTCAAGGAGAATTAAAACATATGTCTTTTAATGTATGAATCTTTTTTTTTTTATTCACAATCTCTTACACTGTCTTTCAGGCAAATTGTTATTATTTATAGGGTACGGACTGTATGATTTTGGAATTTTTGTAGGCTATAATAATAGTGTTCTACAATTAGTGCATAAGCAAATCAAGTAAGTGTAATTACATGATAAACCCACAAGCTTTAATTGAATCTTACACGTTCCTGCTGTCAGTGACAGCAGTCATGTGAAAGATTCAATTAAAGCCGGTCGGTCGAAAGTAAATTCATCATGTACTGATTTAGGCTCATGCACCGATTGTGGAACACAATTTTTATAGGGTATATAGTAAATTAGTACGGTACGGAAACGCAAATTGGGACGGACATGTGGAAATCATGATAGTACGTACGGTTTGTAAAGAAAAAATTCTTTCGAAACAAAGCTAATTTTCCTATAACTTCACATGAAAAAAGAACAATGCTCGCACTTGTCCTAGCCCTAAACATTAAAAAAGGGTATACTTGTAAAGGATTATGTCTCTTCTTTCATTTAGCATGAGGATGCGACGAATCATCGGTGTGGCGAGTAAGCATTAGCTAAATAATTATATTAAATAATGCTTATTAGCCACACCCAATGATTAGTCACATCCTGGTGCCAAATGGATAATGGACTTATACGTAAAAATTTAATTTTACAAACCTAAGTTAACCATACGTACTATCAAAATTTTACTCAATTGTCGTACGTTCGTACATATTTGTACAATCGTACAGTACTATTCTACTAACTACCTATTTTTTAAAAATTTCAAAATCGTATGGGCTAATTATTTGTGATCGAACTATAAAACTATACTGGATGATAGTTTATATCACAAACTACGCTATGATAGTGAGACGTGTAGGTAATTCTAAAATGCACCTGCACCTATGTTTTCAACACCATATATATTTATCAATAACAAAAAATATATATGGTATTGAACACTATAGGTATATTTAGAATTACCGTGATAATTTTATGTGCATAATATTTTCTCATATTAAATGTGCAATTAATTTTATAGCCCGACTGGAATGGTTCTTCAGCCAGACAAGGTTTTCTTGTGTTGGCGTACTTAATCTTTCCTATCGTCTCTACGGCTCGTCTTAATTCCGTCAGTTCTAAATTTGGTCTTGTTTTCTCGACTGTGGCTCATGTGTTTGCTTCGTTAATTATGTCTCTTAGTATCTGCTCTCTATTTGGCGTCACATTAACATTTGACTCTATATCCTGGTGTGTTGAGAATTTATAAATAGAACTTTGTATATCAATTAATATACATGAATAATCAAGTTTATCATTTTATTCAGGAAATTATTGCCTTTTGTATTTATCCTGATTGGTGTCGATAATATGATTACTTTAACCAATGCTGTAACCATGATCCCTAAACAGCTTAATGTAAGAGAACGCGTCGCCAAAGGTAGTATATTTGAATATTCTTGAATCTATCTTTCTTTATATTAATTCATGGTGCGCTTTTTGTAGGACTTGAAAAAGTTGGATATCCTATTACAAAAATGTTAATAAGTTGGCTCTTATTGTTGATGATATTTTCTGCGATGAATATTGATTCAATTCGAGAATTCTGCATTTTCACTTCGATTGCCATGATTATCGATTTTATGCTACAAATGTCGTTTTTCATAGCAGTTTTATCCATTGATCTTGAAAGATTGGAACTAGAGGTATAATATTTACATTTATTAAATATCTATTCTTTTTGATAGTAAAGTTACCTGATATAATTTATTTTAATAATCTTTCTTTCGTTGTAAAAGATATGTACTTATCGTGTTGGCAATTCGGATGTTAATACGGATAGAGATACTATGTCTCTTTCCAAAATAGCAAATTATGGTCGTAGAATTGGTTTTTCATTGATGGTTTGTACAACTTTTCGATTATCATTTTTTTTAAATATAAAAATATACGTAATATTAAGTTCTATTTTCTTTAAAGGTTCTTATTTTTTTAGTAGCTGTGACAAATTTTTATCACACTACTATTGAATTCACCAATATTGATTTTACCAACATTGAATGGTCATCTTTTAAATCTGCATTGAACAGTTGGATTGATAATTCTGTGATTTTTCCTGGTACGCGCACAAACATTACTTACTGGGAAACATCAATGGGTGAAACTACTGACGAATTTTGGAGCATTGTTAATATGGATAAAAAAGATCAATTTATCGAGGTTCTACCTGCTAGACGCTTAACTTTGTCTTTTGACATTGAACAAGATTATATATCTCGTCCACTTGATGGTGATGGAAAGTGGAGATTAAAAATAAGAGCATATATAAAAACTTTTGTTTGGTTTCTCAAATTCATCATATTTCCTATTATAAGTGCAGCATTTACTGTGTCTGTTCTGATGGGTTTCTCATTATCAGAAAAAACAAATAATAATGAAAAAAATAGAAAGATAGCCACATCTTCACCTTCTGAAAGTTCTGATTTGTATGTTACCGCCCCCCAAGTTATAACTTTGCGTGGTCGTCATTTAGCAGACGTGGATTTACTTTGTGCAAACCTTAATGGCGTTATAATTACAAGTGCTACCGACAAACATATTACGTCGTGGAATGGATCGAAAGGTACACCATTAAAAAAACTTGAAAGATATATGCGTCGATGTGCAACTTGTAAATGTGATAGTAGTGGGGGGGAGAAAAACTGTATTTCTTGGCCGGTTAGGGCAATGTGTATGAGTGAAAAAATCGAACTTGCCGCAGCTGGTTTTGAAGATGGAGTAGTGCGAGTATGGGACATAAATTCAGGACAAGTTACTTATATCTTGAAAGATACCGTTGAAGATGTTGAACAAATAATGTCAGCAATTAATAATGAAAAGTCAGTAAATGAACGAGTTACGTGTTTACAAATTGTAGCATCGACTTCAAACTCTTATTGTAACACATCTGAACCATTATCTGATCAAAAACCATTCGCTATGCTTTTGGCAACTTACCGAAATGGATATTTTCGTGAATGGGATCTTACTTCTGGTCAAATTTCCAATACAGTTTTCACAAATCAAAAGAGTGGTATTACTTATCTTTTTGTAATTGATGATAAAGATGAAATTCGTATTTTTACTGGAGCACGAGACGGATCTGTCAAATGCTGGGTTCGTAAAGTTTATTTAAACAATGAACCTAATAATGGATCACGTGAGGACATGTGGAAATTGCTCTACACGTTGCCAGGGGAATTTGGAAATGCAATTACTAGTGTAAGTGCTAAAGCTATCAAAATCAGAAAGGGTTGTTTTGGTGTTGTGGTTACTGGAGCTGCAGATGGAGAGGTTAGAGCATATGATTACACTACAGGTCAATATATAGAAACATTAAGCTACGGAACGTTAAAAAAACAGAAACTTGCAAAAGAACGTAAAGAGCAATTATTTTTTCAACAAAAACAGAAAAAAGTTTCAAAAGAAGATTGGCTTGAAGAATACGATGATGAGCTTGAATCTTGGGATGAAACTGGAGATTTTATTTCACACAAGGATGCAATTATAAGTATTATAATTCATCCACTTCAAGAAGAAAGTTGTCCTTGTGGAGATATTGAAGAAACTAGAGGTTTTTCGATAATAACATCATCATTAGATGAAAAAGTAAATTTTTGGCAATTAACTAGAAATTCAGTGGATTGTACATGCGTGATACCTCAACTAGAAGAAACTACTTTTAAAATTTGCAATAATGTTGATGTCCCAGAACGACTTCAAAAAGTTTTTCTTGGCCATGTGAAGCAACCTGGCGGTTCGGTAATCGTACTTCTTAAAGGTCATATAATTGGAGTTCGCCGTGCCGAAAATCATGATGTATCCATTAAAAGGAGTCATGGTGCTGAAGGTGAATGGGAAGTCTGGACTTTGGATATTAACGACCCTCACGTGTTCGAACCAACTGAAGAGGTTGATAATTTAGAAGATCATGATTATGTTGAATTTAAAGTTAAAACTACTTCATTGGTCAACGAAGGTGATTTGATAATGGAACAAAAAAAGAAGAGAGATACGTTTAATCAAGATCGTGAAAATGTAGATAAATTAAAAGGATTTGTTAGAAGACGTAAAACTGTTTCTCATCTTCATGACCATAATGAAAATCATTCTCATGTTCACAGTGAAGAGGAGAATGTACAAGGTCAGGTTATGGATTTTAGGCAACGAAGTCAGAAACAACGTGTTTATCCAGATAACAGTTACAATAGCCGAACAACAATGTCATTTAATGATGAAATGAATGAAATGCTACCATTTGCTTATATACGACAAGTTGTCAATGTGGGTGAAAATGGAATAGCTGTCACGTATGGCAATTTTGTAAAAGTTGTATTATTTAAAGAACTAGAATCATAATCTATATTATTGGAGGCAAGTCTATATAGTTGTTTAAACGGAAAATATAAAAAACAATTCATTATTATATAAAGTTAAAAAAAAAAGGAAGACACATTATAAAATATATACAATTTATTACTGTTGAACTTCCCAAAATTGATATGTTTGGTGGATAGGTTTTATACTAGTATTGAAAGGTTATCAGTTATAAATAACCCGATTTAACATATCGGTTCTAACAGGATCAGTTTTAGGAGGTTCAACAGTACTTAATTACATATTAACATAACGATAAGGTTTCCGAAATTTGTAATTTGGACAGCAAGTATGCCATGTAATGACGCAAAAAACTGGTAGTCCGATTTATTCCGATGTTACGTATCCTAAGATTTCATAAAACCTCTTCTATAATCACTTCCTTTATAAAGAACATATGAAAGATTCATTTTATGAACACATCTATTTTAGAACCAAACACAACTTTTTTTTTGTCTGTAAAAAAAAAAACTCCTTTATAAGTATTCGTATGAAAGTTCTCTTTATAACACATCTATTTTAGAACAAATATATTTAAAAAAAAGCCTCAATGTAAACACAAGCACATTTCCAAGAATAAAGAAATATATATATATATATGTTGTAAATGGAAACGGAATTTAAGTGGGTTTGGGATTTTTATATAAACCAGCATTTTAGAGTTGATTTTATCATATAAACACCCTTACCTCAACCCTAGTTTAACTAGGAAATTCCAAATCCACTTTCCACTTACAACATATATACAGTATACATAACTGATAACTTTATTAAGCACAGTCGCTTATGATCTTGGCTCATATAAATGTAGTACAGTCAACGCTCGAGATAACGAATTTTTGCATAGCGAATATTTTGAAATAACGAAAATTTTTTGCATAATAAATGTAAGAATGTGGACTTCGCTATATCGAGCTTTAATTCACGACTGACTTATCGTTCAAATGCACTCGCCTATACGACACAATGAAAGGCACAAGGGATTTTGTTTTAAGATTAAGCGGTTCGGCACCTCCATAGGATCGATGCCCTACATATTATTAATTTACGTACTTATCGTCATTGTTCATGCAATCACTATTTTAACTTTCAGTTACCCTTATGTAGACAGTGCCCGATCCAAAGTGAATCCTTCTCGCCTGTGATAAATCACAAATTAAATTATTTATGTTGCCCTCACCAGTTTTACATTAACGGTCTCTAGAAAATCCCGGGCTTCCGACCCTATCCGGATCCAATAAAATCATAGGATCTCATGTAACAAAACAAACGCGAAAAACATAAGAAATTGTAAATAACACAAAAAATCTAAGATTTCAGAATAAAATTTTACTCATAGGACACAATTGTAAATGTTATGATCTAAATAATACACAACCACATTTACTGAACTCAAAAAGGATGCGTTTATTGACTAGAAATTTTATAAACAATAATTGTAGTTTAAAGATTGGAAATGGCTTTGGACTATAGATTTTAGTAGAATTCAAAAATGGAAATTTTAAGAATGAAAATCATTTTTATAATTTCCATTTTGAATTCTACCAACATCTATACTTTGGAAATTTCATCGAACAAAAAATAGCCTCTCGTTTAATAAATCGGTCGAACGTAATTTTATATCAAAGCTCATTTCGTACTTTGCGACTACAAATTGAAAGTATTTATAGATTAACGGAGAAACATCTAAAAGGGTACGATCAATATTGTAAGGATTGGGCAAAATTTAATAGTATTAAGATCAGTATGTAGTTTTTCATTCTTCAATAGATCTCAGAGTTCTTAATACTTTATTTTGGATTTGGTAGATTTCGCCGACACATATTTTATCGACAGCCCACTTCTCTGACAACATATTTCACCTACAGTCCATTTCACCGACAGCTCACTTCTCTGACAATGCATTTCACCGACAATTCTATTTCACGATCTACATCTAGCCATTACTATAGATGTAGACATATTGTCGTAATTAATTACAACTTACTTTTAAAAAGATTTTTTATATTGAGGTAATTAGGTTACGACCTAATTACAACAAAATGTCTGCATCTATAGCCATTACTAACTATGGGCTGTCGGGGAAGTGAAGTCTGGGAAGTAGGCTGTCGGTGAAATGCATTGTCAGAGAAGTGAAGTCTGAGAAGTAGGCTGTCGGGGAAATGGACTATTGGTGAAATGCATTGTCAGGGAAGTGAGCTGTCGGTGAATCGATAGATTACTCAAGTTTAACCTTATTGGTATCATATTGCTTACGGATCTTGGCACCAAAGGAGTACTGACAAATTTAACAAATTAGTTACAAGTTTAAATACACAGACCTATTGACTTCAATATCGAAATAATCAGGTAACTTATTGATTTCTATTGACTTCAATATCGCAATAATCAGGTAACCTATAGATTCCTATTGACCCTTTTTGATGCCAAAAAATTGTAAGCAATAGAGGTTAAATTTGGGTAATCTATATTGAATATAATTCATTTACTTGTGTACCAAATTTTTCTTATATATAATACAATATTTTTCGATTCAAATTTGATAATACCTTTTTATAGAGAAGAGAAAGAAAAAAAGAAAGTATGTAAAAAAAGGGAATCTATAAACAATATATTATAGAATACGAGAACTAAAACTAAGTGACAATTCAACTTCAACCTCTAGTAAAGAAATTTGATCTGATCCATAACTTTGTAATCAATTAGTTATTTAACTGTGGATTTCATAATTTCTGCTGAATTTACAGAATTCAGAATACATCTGAAAACAATGCAAAATATAGAAAGGGGCTCGCATTCAGTTTAAACACCTATGAAATTGGAGATAGTTCTGCCACAATACTTCTAAAATTGTGAAACTTCTCCTACAGGCAAACCGGTTGCACTTTGAAGTTTTATTAACTTTTCAAATTCACGATTACCGATAAGGTTGTAAATATTAAGGAAGAGGTTTTCCAAAACCTCGTAACAAACTTTAAAATTCATTCCCGCTTTATGTTTAAACCTTGATATTGCATATAAAATTTCAAATACAGTAATTAAATTCAGACTTCAACATTTCCAGGACATATTTAAAATAGCGAAAAAATTTTTTGGCCATTTCCAATTGTAAATAAAGCACATGATGCTAAATTTCTATAATTGAGTTCTTTCATACGTAGAACTTTAGTACTGTGTTATGCAAGCAATTTTTTATGCAATAATCAAAAAAACTTTATTCTAGATTTTGTGTCAATATTTAACATATCTTTAATTTATACGTATACGTACTCAATTAACAAATAAGTGATAACGCATTTAAAATGTAACGATAAGTCATCAGGACAATGTATACACACGTGGTAACCAGATCCACTCTTTTGAAAGCACAAGCGCCGTAATTATTTAATAATACCGATACGGATGTACTTGCATGCAAATATTTTAAAACAATTCTGCATATCGATATGAATAATTTACAAGTTTATTAAATAGTTTCCTTTATGCGTAATCAATAAAAAGGGACTATAGGATTTGACCTTTATAATCTTTAAAGTTGAACTAAATTTATATGTAAATTAAACCCAGTCCTCCACATAATTAATAAAACCTACCGTCTCAATTCTAAATAATAGGGTGTTTCAAGAGTTTAAATAGTGAAACATGACTTTAGAATGAACAAAAGACCATAAATTGATTCCATGTAAAATCGTTTAATTCATAAAATAATCTGTGAAATGATATTTTGTTTTGACAAGTTGTGCTACGTTATTAAATTTATGTTTTTAAATCCAAATAATCTTTACATCATCGGATCCAGGAAACCAAATTTAGTAAATAATGCCCCACATCAACACACATAATAATGTCTTTGAAATGTGAGTTCCTTTTGGGGCGTGTAAATACATTAATTGACACAGAAGTTTCGACTTAAAATCTGACAGTAAAAGGAGTTTTAATTTTATTTATTCACTTGTCATGAGTCATTCAGATATAGGTCAGTCAAAATTTACTACAAAACCGTTGTCTTTGTGAGATTTTAGTTTAATAGTGCATCAGATCTATTTGTGAATAGTTCGGGTCCTGGTCTGGTCCAAGGCATATGCGATTGACTAAATCATCAATGTAATGTACGTATGTGCGTATGAAATTCTTTAAATTATTGAACCTTTAGATTTAGATTATATATGTACATATGTATGTATATTGCATTGTAATGAGATTCTAAATTTTTTCAGTATATGCGCCATAGGTTTCTTGCGCATATATATATGACGTATTCATAACACATGGTGAAACTAGGGGTAAGTCTATTGAAAGTTGCGATTAAATGTTGTCAATACAGTATAAAAAATACTTAACTGAAAGTAGAAGCATGCGTAGATTAGCAATAAACTGTAATTTATTATATATTCATGTATTCAATTACACAGAAGTATAGAATAGGTAAATCATTTATTATTTTTCTTTAATTGATCGTAAAAACTAATAACGATAATAAAACAAAAACAATCATTACAACAACGATGAAACTATAACTTATTTGGTAAATTTGTAACATTAGTCTGAGATTTTGTTGTAAAATAAAAGCTAGTGTGGCAATAGATGAAAAAACGAAAGAATTGAAAGCTATTTCTTAAAAGTTTACCTTTTAAGCGAAATTTATGAAGATTTTCCATAGTCTGAAAAATCTTCTCTCATAAAAGCCCTTATACCTGCGCTAAAATTTACTTCGAATATAAGAAGTAAAATAATCATTCCTTACCTAATAGCACCAACTTAAGAAAACTATTTGAAAAAAATGGTATTCAAGATATTTCTATGTACTTTGTTAATACTCGCTATTGAAATCATTCCTTCTTTCCAACTTCCATTTGTCACTTTCCCAACAAGTGAATCTGTATTGAAATGTGGTGATCAAGTATTGTTAATTTCTCTTAATTCCAAATATACACGCGTATCCTATTTCTCATCTAATCCATATTATAAACTAGGTAACTGTAAAATTTATTGATGACGAAAAACCACCGACTTCTTCAATGTCAGGAATCAAAGTTCAATTCATGACAGATCAAGAAACACAACAAATTCCGTTGCTCACCATCGTCGAAAATCTTCCAATCACTGAATCTCAATTTGATTTTAACGTACCATCTGTTAAAGAATTGGGTTACTCCCCTGGAAAATTTTATTTCTTGATGTTTTCAGATCCTAGTAAACCTGATAAAGGTGGTATTTGTTGGAGTTCTAAATTCACGGTACTCGAAGGTGATTTAATTCCTATAACTTACTATTATTTAAAAATTCAAATTAATAATCTAAATATTCAAATTGCTTATCGTTATAATCCTTTTGCAGATTCTTCGGAAACAACTCCTCCCGTAATACAAATGACCCCAAAATCTTTTTTACTTGGTAATTCTTTACCAAATCTTTTCCCTGATGACCATTCTGATGACCACGCGGCTTCAACATCTCCGAAAACTCCATCTGTAATGTCTTCCGTAATGCAACTGACCCCAAGATCTTTACTTAATGATCCTCTACCAAACCTTTTCCCTGATGATCATACGACTTTACCATCTCCTTATACCACGACACCTGTAGCCTCGACACCAACAAGCTCTGTAACAAGTTCTGTTATACCGATTACGTCTGTAGCCACGTCATTGACAAATGTCGTCATGCCAGCAGCAACGACATCATCAAAAATCTGGCAGTCTGTAATAACTGCTGTGATGCCTACAAGGCCAGTTACCGTTGTAATTCCATTAAAACCAACTAAATCAAGTTCTTCAGATGATCCTTCATCCGACCAAGGAACTGTTATAGTGGTTGTTAATGGTCCAAAATCCTCAAGTCCTAAATCAACTAATGCTTTTGATTCTGGTACGGGTTTACAAAGTAGTGCTGCTATAAACAGTAAATTCATGAGGCATGAAAAATGTTACCGTATTATTATATTATTAGGATGTATACTTTTAGGTCTTTGGCTATGAACATACTTTATTTAATTATTTTAATTTTTTAATTGTTTTATATTATATAATTCAGTAATAGTGAAAACAGGGAATAGCTGCTCCAAAAACCTATGAATGAAACTTTGAAAATTTTGTCAATTACTTTAAACTGCTACTATTACTGTGACTATTCCTTATAGATTTTCTATATTCTACATTTCATATTTTTTTTTTCTTTTTCAGGTTAATTTCATTTGTAGTCTTATAAGTATATCTAAATCATAAATAGTGAATATGGTAGATATCTTTGATATAATCTTATCGTTACGAATGAACAAAATGCCTTCGACTTTAAAAGGCGCACTTACATAATCATTCTGACTGACTTTTTATATCTTTAGAGTAACGTCCCTCCATATTTATCGTCATTATTATTTTTAATAAAAAGCTATCACGAATTTACATAACGATAATAAAAGTTGCACACTTAAAATTCAATATCAATGAATTAAAAAAAATATGTGATCAAACATTTTTTTTAAAAAAAAATGGACCAAAACAAGAACAGCAGCAATCAGTCAGAATCAACTTAGAAAACCTGCTTTAACATTTTATAAAAAGTAAAAAACAAAAAATAACATAGAGTTTACTAAAAGCTATTTTCTCTTTAACTATAACTTAAAAGAAAAAAATTGTTTGGTTTTTTCTTTTTTTTTTTTTTTTTTAAAGGTCATACTTTGTGACAATACTTTATTAACTTTTATTGGGTTAGTTATTACAACTATTTTTACAGAAATGAGAGTACAACTAGTCACATGTGCAATTTTTGGTTGCCTATTTAAGTAGTCCATCCTAAGGTTCTACATTAGATGCCATACCTATAACCTATTAGGAGATTATTCATTTAAACTCTTTAATCATCTGTTCTGTTATGATGTAATCCTAACTAATCTTCTGTATATATCTAATCAGTATACCATCTGAGCAGTATAATATCTATCTTTTTTGTATTAGTTTCTAGGTTATTACATATTTTAGAGTATATCACCTGTCAGTAAGACACAGAGGGTCTTCTGTTATTAACTATCTACTCACTTTTAGAACACTAACAAGGATTACCCTTACAGAGTTCATCTAGACCTTAGTATTAACTTTACAGTATATCTCTAATATTTTTAATATACATCTGTTTTAACTTTAGACTCCTAATTCAGATAGTCTAGAAGAATTATGACCTATTCTTAATATATTGAAATCAACCTAATACCTTTTTCTTCTGGTCTGAAATCTGACAGCCTGGTTGGTAGTACTCCTCATCTGAGATTCTTTTCATCTAATTCTTCTACATTGGTATCTATTTCTTAGATCTAGTCTTTACAATAATATTATCAATGATCTATATTATCTCTTTACTCAGAATTTTCAAGTAAGTTCTGGTTTCTCAGTTCTATGAATTTATATAGGCTAAGAACTTATTTTAAGTTTGCACCACCTAGTATTAGTTTGCATTTTTCTGTATAACAGATTATATAAATACCTCAAACCTGCTAGTCATTCTGGTGTGACTATAGTTACAAGTATCTTATCTTAATTAATTAACACAATGTTATTACTGTAATATCATCTATATATTACATAGGTAATTATCCAAATTATACTATCAATAGGTTTTAATCTTACAATCTACTACTTGAAGGAATAATAACTTAGTTATTTTACTAAGTCACCATACCTGCTGGTCTCTTCTGTTTGAAACTTTTTAAAAAAATTAGAAATTTTGTATAGTTAATAGAATTTGGTTATATAAAAATATATAAATAACAAAATAAATAAACAATAGTATACATTTTATTTTTGACAATATGAGAAATTGTTGATATTATACAAGCTAGGAATGATCAGCATTGTGCATATTTAAGTAACTATATAATTAAAATTATATACATTAATAACTATTGCTATTATAATTAGATATAAATTTAATAATAATTAGATATAAATATAATTATAATTTGTAATAAAAATAATTATTAAACTTATTTTATTTAATATATATGCAATATAAATTTTATAATATTATAATTTTATTGATTTAAAAATATTAAATTTACATATTTTAATACATTTTCAGTTGTAATTAAATTATTCAATACATTATATGCTTCATCAATATCATCATTATTTATTATACTTTTTAAATAATTCATTTTTAACTAATTTATTAGTTATATTTGATATTAATATATCAACATTTTTTTGAAAGATAATCTAAATATATGAAACATTTAAAATAATATTTTTATAAGTAATCATTGTGATAACTATATCCATACACCAAAACAATGCTATTATCAGGATGTGGTGACTTAGTGAAGTGAATAGGTTGTTAACCTCCAAGTGGCAGGTCTAGAGTTCAAATCCCAGTGACGGTGAAAATTTGCAATTCTTTCTGTATTACAGCTAACTGT